AAAAAAAGGACGACAGAAATGCATTTTTTTCAATAAATAGGCTGTCAATTGCATTGAATGAGCTACCTAAATTTTCCTCTATTTAATGTGCTTCAGAATCTGTAAAAATATTTCAGAATGGTTCGGAGTGTATTGAGTTAGAGAAAATAGAACTCACACAAACCTACTTGTCCTTGTGCTTGGGTCAGATTGCAAAAAATCTAGCACATGTAAAACTCCACATAAAATTCTCTTTACACTCTCTAAAAATTACTGTGCTTACAGGGTACACATATACTCGGTTTTGTGATGTAGGATTGTTAAGACAGGGAGTTTGGAATGGCACTTAGATATATGTGCATATATGTGCACCCTTATATACTAGATACATTGTGCTATACTAGTAAATGAGACGTAAAACACAGCATGTCAAATACTCCCCTTCAAGCCCTAATATTCTGTCGTTAACGTTGAAGACCTATAAGTTCTATTAGGTGCTTGATTTGAGGGACGTAAAGTGCTTTTGTAAGGATGTCTGCAAGTTGGTTCTGTGTTTGAACATAATGTATGTTGATGTAGTTGTTCTGAATGTAACAGCAGACAAAGTCCTTTTGCAAATCAAGGTGTTTTGTTCAAGTGTTGAAAGTGATCTCCTTGGATTTGACAGTTTGTATTGCTCCCTGATTGTCACAATAGACTGTAATGGGTGCTGATTCTGTCTGCAGTACTTCCTCAGCAAGTTGTTTGAGCCAAATGGCCTCTTGAGTTGTGTATGCCAGCACTTGCAACTCTGCTTCATAAGTCAATAGTAGTACCAGGTTCTGTTGTTTGCTTGACCAAGATATTGTTTACTTTCCCAACTGGAATACATATCTGTTAATTGATCAGTGTCCTTCTGTCATTCATCTGTCAGCATTACAGTACCCTTGTATGGTCAATGTATTTGTGCCTCCAAGATGAAGCCAGTAGTTTGTAGTTCCTTTTAGGTACTGGAAGCAATGTTTTGCTGCTTTGTAGTGGCTCATATTTGGTTGTTGTAGATAGTGTGCTAATTGGCCCATAATGTATACAATGTCTGGCCAAGTGCAATCTGCTGTGTAGCATAATGATCCTACCATATTCATGTACAGTATTGTTTGCATAAATTGTTTGTCATCAATCATATCATTCATACTTGTTAAGTATGTCCCAGGCATCATAGGAGTTTGTAACAGTTTTTTGTTCTTGAGCTTAAATTGTTGTATTATGCTCTGGATATAGTGACTTTACTGTAAGCAGATTGTTCTCTGTTGTCTATTTCTTTGGATTTTGATTCCTAGAAGCCAGTGTATTTTGTTTCTGTCTGTAAATGTAACATATTGTTTTAACACTTCTTTGAATGCATTCACTATAGTAATGTTTTCACCAATAATAGTGATATTGTTGACATGCATGAATGTTATTAATATTGTTTTGTTATGCCTTTTCTTATAGAATACAGTATTGTCATAGTTTGCTTGTTGCAATCCTATTTTGTATAGTATATCTGTAATTTTCTTATACTATTGTTGTCCTGCTTGTTTTAGTCCATATAGTACTTTATTTAATTTTAGCACTTGACCAGGTTTGATATTGTTTAGTAATTTACCCAGTGGAGGTCTCACATAGATATGTTTGTCTTCATTTAATTCTCCATAAAGATATACAGATTTTACATCTATTTAATGTATTTTGTAGTCTTTAGACACTGCCCAGCTTAATAATAATTGTACTGTAGTTAATTTTGTAACTGGAGCAAATAGGTTGTCTGAATAGAAATCTATTCTGTCCTTTTGGGTGTAACCCTGTACTACTAGTTGTACTTTGTATTTGTCTATATTGCTGTTAGCTAGTTGTTTTAATTTGTAGACAAATCTTGTTCCAATTATATTTGCATCTATTGGTGGGTATGTATATTCCCATGTATTGTGTAATTGTAATACTGTTATTTCTTTGTTCATAGCTTTGATCCATTGTGCTTTATCATTATTTGTTATAGTATTGTAATACATTAATGGATCATTATATACTTTGTTAAGTAGTTTGTTAAATTCTGTTAGATATATTACTAGATTTATTTCATTGTTGTAGTTTAATCCTCTAGCACGTTTTGTTACTTGTTGTTCACGAGTTGATTGTTGTAACTTGTTATTATTATCATTATTATTTGTTCTGTTCGTTCTGTTATTATTGTTATTATTATTATTTGTTCTGTTTGTTCTGTTTGTATTATTATTACTGTTGTTTGTTCTGTTATTTGTTCTGTTAGTTCTGTTTGTTCCATTATTATTATTGTTATTATTATTATTCTCCCCTTCAATTCTAGATGATTGTACATCTATGAATTGCAGGTTTTGTTCAACTGTTATTTTATTATTGTGCCATGTTATATAGCCTTTACTTTTGTTATTATTGCCTAACCATTGTGTGTATTTACCTCTAGGCTCTAGTTTGTGCATATTTTTGTTCTGTATGATACAATATGCTCTGAATTCTTGTATGTTATCAATAGTGTATTGTTTGTTAAACTGTTTGTAATATAGTGTTGCAAAATTTATTACAGTATGTAGTGTTCAATTATGAATAAATGTTTGGTATTGTGTAGCATATACCTATAATTTTGTAGGTAATTTAGATGTTAATAGACACATTTGTACTCTGTTAAATATTGTTTTGTGCATACGTTCTGCAACTCTGTTTTGTTGTAGGGTATCATGTACTGTTAATTGTTGTATAGTTCCTTGACTTTCTATGTATGCTGTAAAGTCATTACTTAGGAAGACAGTATTGTTATTGCTTTGTAGTGTTTTTACTTTTATACTGTATTGTATAAATAATTTCATAGTGTATTTGACATATTCAGTAAATGCATCACTTTTATGATGCATGGGTATCATATCTGCCCATTGTGTAGTGTCATTAACAATTGTAAGTATGTATTCATATTTGCTGTATGCTTGTATAGGTGCTGGACCCCATATATCAATATGTAGACGTTCTCTGTATGTTTTAGAAATTGCAGACGTTTGTATTTTAGGTATATCATTACATTGTATGTTTGCATGCATACAATCATTGCATCATACATTCTTATTGTCTGTTACTTTTTGTTGTATTATTTTAGAATGATTTTGTATGAGTTTGCATAAATACTCAAAGTTAATATGACCCATTCGTTTGTGTAAGTCAATTATAGTTATTGTGTTAACATTCTGTTGGTAATGATGATACAATACTATCATATATAACTTATTGTATACTCGTATTTCTCCAATCTTTTTATTTGCAGGTGAATAGATAGTACATGTATTGTTTGTTTTTACTAATTTGTGTCCTGCTTCACATAGTAATGCTTTACTGATTAATGTGAAGTTTAGATTGGGATGATAGTATACATTATGTAGTATGATACTGCTTACATTCGTTTCGTTCGTTCTGTGTTTGTTGTTTGCATCTTGTTGTATTCTAATTATCATTGCTCCACTTTGTCTGAGCATGATTATTGTTTTGTTTGCAATTGTAACATTTATAGGGTTTGTATATTGTACATTTGTTAATTGAAATAGATAGGGTGTAGTATAGATATTAGCACCTGAATCAAGTATGTCAATACAATGTGTAAGTTTTGTCATTCCATAAGAACATGTATTAATACATACATTTGGGTTATATTCCCTGAGGAATTCATCAAGTGTGAGTTCCCCTTGTATTTCTTACATTTGTTCATTGTTTATAGTGTTTAGTGTTAGCATTTCGTTTACTTTGTCAATAAATGCTGCTGGGTCTGTAAGCATAGCACTCATTGTTTGAGCTGTAATTTGTTGTGATGTAGATGCATTCGTCATTGTCATCATTTGCTTTTTTTGTGCTTCCTTTGTAGTGTCTGTTACTAGACTGTAGCACTCTTTGGACATATGTCCATATTTGTTACAATTGTAACATTTCATTGTCTTGTAAGGCTTTGTGTTGCCTCTACTGTGTCCTTGTCCTCTTGTTTGACCTTGTGTAGGCCCTAGGGATAGAGGGTGATTATTCATTATTTTATTATTATTATTTAGTGTACTATGTTTATTCTGGTGGTTCTGTGTTTGCCACTCAGTAAATGTGTTGTGTAATTTGTGAATTAATTTTGCTGGTGTGAACACCTGACATTGAGCTGTAGTGACTGTGGGTAGGCTATTGTAATGTGTGTTCTGCCTATCAATCATCATTACAACCCACTTGTACTCTCTTGGAGTAGCAAGATTTATTGCTGAGACATAAGTATTATCATCTGGTACTTTACTGTGAGCTACCAGTTGCACATAGACTTGTTCTATTTGGTCTAGCATCTTGTCAAACTGTGAAACGTGTCCTCTAGCTGTGAACAGCACTGATATATCAACTGTGTGAGTCAACATGGTTTGCACATTGTATCAATCAGCTAGTGCCTGCATGAGGTCTTTCATTGTTTTGTGCATTGTAACGTTAGCATACACTGTATCTGATATTGTCTTTGTTATGAAATGATACAATAGTTTCCCTGTGTGTGTGCTGTCTGCATCTGTGCTAGGGGGATCGTTTGTAAGATGGTCACTGAGCAGTATTGCTGCTAGTGCATTCATAATGTGTAGTTGCCATATCTTATAGTTCTTTGCACCTGTAAGCTTCTCTATGTCTTTAAAGAATGTAGCAAGTTGATCATTGTTGATCTTTGGAGACTTGAACGTTAACGTAGATTGTGCCATTGTTAGAGGCGTTGCGTTTGTAGGTGGAGCACTAGTACTAGGAGGGGGGGTAGATGTCTGAGGTAGAGGTTGCGTTCGTGGTGTCGTTCGTGTCGATGGTGCCATTCACAAGCCACCAAGGCTCATAACCTGTTAAGACAGGGAGTTTGGAATGGCACTTAGATATATGCGCATATATGCGCACCCTTATATACTAGATACATTGTGCTATACTAGTAAATGAGACGTAAAACGCAGCGTGTCGAATAAGGATCAACTTAAAGGCTTGAAATGAGTAGGTTTGTTCTGCTGTTCCAGAATCCAGCCGATCCCACACTACTCGTGCCATTCTGCCTCTCATAGTTCGCACAGCTTACAACCAAAAATTGCATTTTTCTTGCTAAATTGGTCAGGCAGTAAGATAAACAGAATCCCCTTTGTCTTGTATTCATTCGTATATACTACAAGCTAAGACGACTACCACTTTGCTCGGGTGCGGTGTAGTGGAAAGTTCAAACGACAGGGGATTATAAATAAGCACTCTGGTACACCAATTCCGACGAACATACACGAGAAGGGAGGATAAATGTATGTTGGTGCTCCTACATAGAACGATGTATACCTACAGCGACAAAGCAGAAGGGAAGCATAAAGGCAGGCCACTACCACCATATCGAACAATGGTTTCTTACTGATACACAAATTCCGACAAAGACAGGAGCACATAAAGACAGAGAGAATGTTCTCGGGGGCCCAATGTCCGTCCGACGAGCAAATACAACTTACGACTAACAGCGGTAAGCCAACTCACGTCGATTCCGCCGGTATGGGTTTCAGCGAATCCAACCACTGTAACAGAATGTGGTAGTCTGAGTTTACTTTCCCTGCAACCGGCGTGGCCATGTCCTCAACGAATGAATCGATTTTCTTCTCTGTGGTTCGTTTTCCCCGTTTCGAGTAATCGTTGCTCGAGTAGAGTTGTTCCTCGATTTCTTTCAGTCGCCTCGTCATAGTTGATGTCTTGCTCGTCTTCGTCTCCGC